CTGGACATAGGAAGCAGCCTATTGAAATACATATCTACATGTCGCTATTTTAATACAGATCTGAAAATGCTAGTTTACACATTTAAAAAGCTGTTACAAACTGTCAAACAAAAAATATGTATCTTGTGAATTAATGAGGCTTCCTAAAGATACAAACTGTGTCTGTACACAGCATGCGGTGATGGTGAAGGGAGAGCAAGCAGAGCACAGCAAAAAGAGCTTGCAGCTGCCAGTGCAGGGTTCTGTCCTGAAGAACCCCCACAGGAGGGTTTATTGTCCCCACCACCAAGCCAGCATGGGCTGAAGTAGTCCTCAATGAGCCTAAGTTTGAGAAAGGACATTAGCAAAAGTGGGAATGGAATCTATATGCTTCCCTGGATTCATGAACATATTCACATATTCAGATGAGACAGGCATTGAGGTGGGAGTTACTTGTACTCACTAAGGAACAAGAGTCTTCCCACATTCATTCCTGTTGATAAAGTCCTGGTACCACATGCTTTGTGGGTGGTGATACAGCGAACAACAGGCATCCCCAAGTGGTTCTCATGTCCCTCTTATTGGGGGGCAAGTAAATGAAGGTTATGTCTAGGCCCTGGCATTGAGGTATTCCTGGGCAGCCCACATGTACTGCCAACAGACTCTGCTTGGACTCTCCTCACTCTTATCACTTGCCTCTGTGCAATGGAGTGACTACAGCAGCAGTGGCAGGCAGCAGGGGGAGGGAGGGCTCTGGGTCAAAAGAAAAGAAGAGGGAGAAAGCAGAAAGGAGACTAGACGGGTAGAAGTCTAGCAGCAAGGCTCTTCAAGGAAGTACATGTATTCTCTTTCCCTGCTTTAAAGAGTTAAAACAGTGTGGAAATTAATACATTCTCAGATTTACAAGCACAGTACAGAACATAAATGGTATTGGGCAAGGCTGGGGAAAGTATCTGGTTTTCAGTCCCAACTCTTTGTACTTCCCTTCTCAAATACTGCCCAGTGCTCTTTCAATGAAGGTCACAAACCTCTTGTTTCCAGGTGCTATTCTCCCCCTTCTGCTCTTACTTTTTCAGGCAGAAAAAGCAGCAAGAGCCTCCCAAAATTTCTGGCTTGCTAAAGGACTGGGAATTGCAACACCTTTCTATCTTGCTAGCTGAAGATGACCAGGAGTTTGCTGCAAAACATCACATTCTGTGGAAATTGCTGATTTCTCTAAGACAGTGTTTCAAAGGGGGCTTTGCTGAACTTCCAGCAAAATGTTGACATGTTTCTGGGAAACACCAGTGGACTCCCACTGACAAAGAAGCACAAGCTGGAGAGGGGCCAGGTGGAAGACAAGTTGATGTCCTCAGCTGAGCGCTCCAGGTTCTGGGCCTCATAAAACCATGAGGATTTGCATCTTCGTGGCACATGGAAGGTCCAGTTTCCATCACATGCAGCAGAGAACCCTGAAAACTGCCTCTGACATCTCCTTTCCTCCTCTGTGCCCTCTGAATTTGCAACATGCTGAAACAGATAAGCAAAACACACCTGTATGAAACACTTCGCTGACCTGCTGCCCTTGGCTTTGAGTGCACACATACCTGAGACACCTGTCTCCCAGATGTCCTCCAGCACATGAAATGTGTGGGTGAGTGGGAGGGGGGGCTGCGACCAGCAGCTATGCCAGGTTGTCAGTCTTGCATCATCACCAGTCATCTGCAGCACCTGATCCTTTGGAGATGTCACTTTAACACCTTTCCATTGCGGTGACCAGTGATGGAAGGGTGAGCTAAAGGAATAATGTCCGCCCTTTTCTTTGCAGAGACCACAGTAACAGTCAGACCCACTTCCAATGTCAAGCTTAAGTCTGCATCTTAACCATACATCAAGGAGACTGCCTTAAAAAAAAACCCTAATATTATGTTTTAGAATAGAGAATTTACCTAAGTAAATAATTATTTTTAAACCCAAGATTTAGGCAGCTTTAGTATTCCACATTATGCTAATGTTTGACAATTACTAAGTGTGGGTATCAGCCAGCATTTTTTTTTTTTTTTAAGTTTAATTTAAAGCAATTTGACATGGAAAGGTTATTACTTTAGTTGCCAATAAAAGCTGTACTTTTAACATAAATGTACACCAAGCCCTAGGGTATGTGACTATTATCTTTTCTGCAATTATGTGGTGTTCTACATAAATGTTAAAAAAAAAAAAAAAAAAAAAAAACTTAGAAATATCAAAAGTACCAACTTAGCAGCAGTGTGGAAGTTGAGCAGCAGCTCCGGGAAACGCAGCTCCTGCAGGCACAGCACAGGTTGAGGTTTCCTCCTAGAGGTGCCGCCGGGAACGGCTTCGCTGCCGCCTGCGCAGCCCAGAGAGGTGCCTTCTTTCTAAAGCATGTTTCTTTTTTCCTTTTTCCTTTTGTTTTTTTTTTTCTTTTCTTTTTTTTTTTCCCCCAGGTCTTCAATTCTAAATTTTTTCACCAACCCTCTGGAACTGCACTTTTGCCTTATTAGGGGAAATTGTGGTTTCCTCTCGCTGTAGGATCGTGGTGCCAGAGGAGCCCTGTGTAGCAGAAATCACCACCATCTTTGAATGGAAACCAGTAAACCCACCCTCACCGTCCCCCCAAGACCTTGAAGAGCCACAATGCTATTTCAACTGGTGAATTCTAGGTTGGAGGTGTGCAGAATAAAGGAGAGAGCTGGTCCTCAGCAGCACCCAGAGCAGCTCGGCGTGTGCATGGGGCTGAGCACATTCCTTCTGACACCTCCAGGATTCATTTCTTTGGCCAACATAAGGTTGCCATTCAAGCTAAAAACGTCACATGCAGTTACCATTCGTGGTGGGGACCTGGTACCTTGGGCTGGCTGACCAGAGTCCATTCTGTCCCATGGGGCCAATGAGTGCAGCATCTTGCACCAACTCCTCCAAGCCAGGCCCATGTGGGTGCATGTCTGTGCCCCCAAACAGGGGCCAAGCCCCACATCAGCCTGTGCACAGATAAACTTACTCCACTCACCCTTCAAAGGCAGAGCCCGGGGGTAAACAGATTGAAACAAGATGAATTCTAGTCCAAACATTGAAGGTTGCTCAGTTAAGAGATCACTTTGATATAATTTTTTTTTTTTTAAAGTCTGGGTCTTTTTTTTTTTTTTTTTGTCTGAGTTTTGTTTTTAAAATTACTTTGGAGCTTACGAAAGTCACAGCATCACCCTCGCCAACTGCAAACCTTCCAAAAACACCCGGCACCAGGGCAATGAACTTTGGCTTCCTGCATCACCCTGCCCATGCCTGTCGGAGCTAACCTGCAGCCATCCCCAGGCAGCCAGAGGGAGCTCAGCCCTTTGTCTTCCTGCTAGAAAAGCAAGAACATTGGTTATGGTCACAGTGCCAACTCCAGTTCATGGTTCAAATTAGCTAAAGTTTGTTATTTTACACTTTAAGTAGGAGCTGCAACAAACTGCTCACCGGCAGTCCCAGCGATAGTATACAAGCCCCTCTAGGATCCCTTGGAAGAGCTCCTGATGAGTTCACCAATGTTTGTACATTAACCTCTGGGTGAAAAGCCAGCAAGAGGGATGTTAGAACTGCTCCGAGCCCTCCAGAGCATGACACAAAATGATGCAAGTGTGGGAGCTAAGAGAGAAAATGTTGTGTGAGCCCAGAAAAATAATAAAACATTTAAATCCTTAATTGTTTTTCTTGAAGATTTATCCAAAATTGAGCTCTCCTTAAGCTTGTGAGTTTGCAGAGCATTGTCAATAAATTAGATCATGCACACAAGGCAGGGATTTCAAGCCAAAAAGCTCCAGCCGTGAGTCGCTTAATAGCAACACTCCCCAGAAAAACGACTGGAGATGAAGCACAAGATATGTATTAATTATCAATGGTTTAATAGAAAATTTAATGAAGACAAGTATCTTCTTGCACTTTATCCATGATAACCATGATAGTATGTCAGCGAAATGCATACCTTACAATGTGGCGGTGAAATGTCAAGTCTGAGGCCATTATAGCAATTCACCACAATAATGGCTAGCCAATGTATGGACTTGTAGCACTTAATCAAAGTAATGACATTCATCCACAATTATTTATGTTATGGTAACAAAGAGCTGCCAAATGCAAAACAAATGACATGAGGACTTGCAAGTGAATTCCTTCCCGTAAATTCTGCTAAGGTTATGCTTAAAGGCCCTCAGGATGGGAGTCCGTATAAATTCAGAGCGTTATCACCGGTGTTGTTATTGTGCCACATTTTACTGCCTATAAGTCGTGAACCCAGTGGTCTAGCAGGGATGGGCTCTTCAGCCAACAGAGCTGTCATGAGACCATTGGAAATGGCCCTGATATACAATCAGGAAATGTCTGGAGAATTTTACAGAGGAAAAAGAAATGTAAAAGAAGACCTTTGCTTACTTCTGCTTATCAAGGAGAATGCAGAGCTAGTTATATCAACACTTATATGTGTATTTAAAGTACACGAGCAGCCCCCACTTACCTCAAAGGGCTTTGGATTGCAGCCATTATAATTGCCAACCATGGTTCTCTATTAAATGCAATACTTTTCTTTTAGGGGCATTTATGTGGGTGTTTGTATAAAAACACTGTCAAAAACTAAGAAAACCAGTAAATATAAAATGGCAACATTCAGGTTCAAATGCAATGAACTAATTTATTCTTTTCAACAGTACATCCAACTGTTTTTCACCACTCACAGATGTCACTGGAACAACTTGAATACAAAAAAAAAAAAACAAAAAAACAACCAGCCTAAGAACAATATCCTGCACAGAGCAGCTAATATTAATTGCTTTAAAAATGCCCTCTATTAAGCTAAATAATAGCCAAATCTCACTACAGTAAATGCACCCTTATATGATTAAGTATAATTTAACAGAAATATGATTGCATAGTAGAAAACATGAAAACGCTGAAAATGAAAGCTTCCCCCCCCCAGAATATGGATCTCCAAAGAAACACCCAGAAGAGGAAAACAGCCATTAGCCAGTCACTCATCCCTAGAGGCCAAAACTGTGATTGTGCTTAACTCTACCACCCTAAGTGAACGCATTCCCAAGAAGGGAGGCTGGTGGGCTCTCACCACAGGCTCTGGCCGCCCTCAATGACCAGGTTGTGACCCGTCATGTAGTCTGAAGCTTCAGAGGCCAAGTAGACAACGGCAGCCTGCAGGTCAGTGACCCGTGCCAGCCTGGCAGCAGGGATGTCAGCCAGCCAGCGCTGCACCAATGGCCGCAGTTCCGGGGAGTGGATGAGCGGTGTGTCCACGATGCCTCTGTGAAGAGCACACACAGTGTGGGTTTAGGAATTTGTTGGCCCAAGTGGAAAGGTAGTACAAGGTGTTAATTCAGAAGGAAAGCCACGGGGAGTAGCATGGAGAGTCTTGGCATTGACTGAAGCTCATAATGCAAAGTTCAGCAGCACTGTTTTCCGACTGCCTTCCACTACCACTGGGCAGGCTTAGAGAATTTATTTTAAAAGGAGAGCACACACACTGTCATCTTAGCTAACAGCAAGACCCCCTAACTTTCAGGTTACTCATCATCAATTCCAATTTACATTTTCTTATAGAAGACAACATGGCATTCAGATTGAAAGTGCCTCCAACCAGGTCTGTCGCTACACTTGGGAACTGCTGTCCTTATTCTGATTTCTCTTTTTGCAGCATGATGTTACACAGTACGTTCATATCCTGCCCAGAAACTGAAAACAGCCCAACTTCCCACACATCAAATACAAGGAAAGCAAATGCCAGCACCTTTCTCAGCCCTGAACTCCTTCCACGCAGAAAAGGAGAGAGACATCACAATGGAATCCCATCAAACAAATATCCCAGCAAAGCATGTACCTGTCTTGCCTGCTTTACATTAATGAGAGACTACACCGTTTATTAAAACTCTGCTAAGTTCATTTTCTCTGGGTGCCCTAAAAATGAGTGATGCTCCGGAACGCACAATGCAGGGTGAATGTTTGGCTGGCTTTTATGACTTTAACTACGACTGATTTGTCATACTCCTCCTTAACAACATATTTGTATTTTGTGAAATGTATAATTTTTTCAGCCCCTGAACAAATATATTTACATAACTGTGTCTAACGAGAAATTACATTTAACTTCTCAGAAATGACAATAACTAAAACCTGAACTGCCAATTCCACTTCATTAGTGTGGTAGAAATGCATTCCAAATGTTAATAAAAATTCCAACATGCTGATAAATTAGCGCTTCTAAGGAGCATGTGACACCTTGGTTAACATATTCAACCTCAATTATATTTCTCTTCAGCACCCTGTTATCTGGAACCTTTGCTGGCAATCAGAGGTGCTGTTTTTCAGCGGCCAATTTTCTAGATAATGTAGCTTATCAACACTGTGGGTAAACTTGCCAATGAAATCAGGCTGCACTGAACCACACACACGCTAATTGCATCTCTTTTTTATGCATATTTACAGACTGTCACTTCAAAGAAATCAGTGGCCCATTGAGGCAGCCAGTTAGCTGGAAGAATTGCCTCTTGCAAATGAAAATTAGCAAACAAGCTAGTGATAAATATGAAATGAACAAAGTATAAAAATACCCGTTTTGTTCTGAAACTTCATCGGCATCCCAATTTATACTTCCAAGGAAATTATTTTTTGAGACACGCTGGATTCTGGGTATGAGATTTACCTTTTGTTTTAAATGAAGGCTGAAATCTTCTATTTACTCTGTTACAAAGTGGAACTAATTCAGACTTTCCTCCAAACATTTCTGCTTTCATTAATCAGGCAGGATTTAAAGATCAGCTTTATTTTTTATTGTAATTGACAATAAACACTACAGCAGTTCAGAAGCACTGAGCAACACAGCTTGGTTAGGCTCTGGCGGTGTAATAATATCAAACGCATTCCAGCATAGGGCTGCAGATTTTACTTCTTTCCCCTAAGCACAGCTCCTAGTCTCTCCCCTTGCTCTCCCAGGCTCCTCAAGAACTGGCTTTCTTCAGAGAGAACCATGCTTTGAGCAGCAGATGTGGAATACATCGCACTCCGTCCCCCCACGTGCCTCTCACTGCGCTCACAAAACCACCCGCATAGTCATTCTGGCTTTACACTATCAGACATCAAAATCAAATTTAAATCCTTATGATTCTTT